AATGAATCCCCGTAGGCCCAGATAAGACTTGGGATATGAAAAATGTTAGTTAACACCCACTAAGTTTTCGAAAATGATTTTGAAAATTCAATACTGGTTTTTGGAATATTCGAAATTTCTGTAAAATCAAAGTGGGGTGTTACAGGTTCCCTCGAAGATCCCGTCGTCGTCCACATACAATGCAATCACTACCGCCGCCGGATGTCCACTCAGCTACAGTGGGTCTCGCCGGAAAATAACAGCCGCCATGGAAAATTTCGTCGAGAACGCCACTGCTATCGAGAAAACTCTAGCCGGTGCTTAGAACGCCCCACCTTCCAGAGAACCCTCGCCGATAACTCGTTGCCATCAGCCACCGCTTTATAGTGACGATGTTATGTAGCGGCTGAAGGCGGCGATGCGACGAGACGGCGACGGCGGTCCGGTGGCGGCTGCGTGTTGTGTGTGAATCGATGCCGTCGGTGTGCTGAAGGGGATGGACGGCCGGAAAGAAAAAATGTTCATGGCAAAGGATGAATTCATTAATTCAATTTGTTGTAAAGTGAATTGTGGGGTTTCTTTTAAGTAAATTAGATAAACTATAGGGCTAATTTGCAATTTGAAAAACTGTAATTATAAATTGTATCTTACTGCTTGCTTTGTTTTGCTTTATTTGAAGAATTGATGATAATATAATTGGTGGTTAATTATATAATTTATTAAAAATCTATTAAATATTATATAATTATATAATTTACTAAAGAATTGATGATAAAGTAATTGGTGGTTAATTATTTAATATACTAAAAATCTTAAAAAAAAATTAAATCGTACCTACATATTTGTGTTTTTTTTAATAGACAAAAAAATGAAAAAGACAATTGAACTGAAATTTAGTTTTTTTGAGTTGAAATTTAAAATTTTCGATCCAAAAAAAATTAGTTTGGTCTATTTTTGGCTTGATATGTGCGATCTAATAGTCATTAATGTGCAATTCATATAACCTTAATGTGCAATTCAAATAACCGAAATAAATTACATTATTCATTCTAAAAAATGTTTAGTCTTTAATATTTTATATTTATTATTATATGTTAATATTTTATTACAGAAATAGTATATATGTAACAAGAATATAATGTGCAATCTATCAGTTATTATTGTGCAATTCGTCCAACACTACGGTGCACAATGTCAGTCTATATTGTGCAGAAGAAACCGACCAAACTTTCGTTCTAAATCAAATCGAATAAATAAAGTACAAGCACACAAACACAAATGTGCATCTAGTATAACATTAATGTGCATTCTATTGTATGGCATTTTTTTGTACATTTAAATCTTAGGCAACTTCAATAATGTGTATTTTAATTTACATCATTTTTACAATTATTATATAACTCATGCAATTAAAATATATTTAGTAATTTTTGTGTTTTTTAATATTTTGTAATATTATCTGTTGAAAATAAATAAAAGTATTTTTAAAAAAATTTACTTAGAACGTAATAATGTGCATTTTGTCTGACGCTATGGTGCAACCTGAGATTCACTAATGTGCTAATGATTATTAATATCGTGCATTAAATTTGAGTTTTTTTTTTTTTTTTTTTTTTTTTTTTTTTCAAATTAAAACTATTATGAACTAAAATACTTTTATTATTCGGGTGGTTGCTCGCATAAACCCAAATTTATGGAATACTTTAATATTTATTGTTATGAAAATATATTTTAGTATTTTAATATTTTTATATATTTTCTTTATTGTTTTCTTTTTGTTAAGAATGATATAATTTACATATGTATAAAGGAAAATATCAAAAATAATATTGTTTTATATATTTTATAATCATAATGTGCAACTGCAATACATACAAAAATATAGATAACAAATAGTATTATCTTTCATAAAAAAAATATAAATAGTAAAAATGTAATATATTTTCATATATTTCGGCATGTTATGTTATATTTAAAACTATTAAATTCGACAAATAACCAACTAATATTATTTGATCGATTAGCACAATTACACATTTTTTAGTACGTGCAGCGTGTCGTTCTATACGGCGCAATATGTTGTGTTATAGGGTGCAATATGTTGTGTTATAAAGTGCAACGTATTAATTTTGGTACATTACCATGCTTGTGTGTTTTTTAAATAGACGATGGATAATGTGCAACGCATTATTCTATAAAGTACGACATTCCGCTATGTAAAGTGCAGTAGCTAATTTATAATTTTCCAGAAAATTATGTATATAATTATAAGTCGCATTAACCTAAATAATTAAAATATCTTTTTATTTATTATTTTTATTATATAATTTATTTATTATTATAAAAAATTATATTATTTTTATTTAACAATTTATTTATTATTTAATATATATGCATACCAAAGCATATAAACAAATATTTTTCTTATCAAGTTTCAATAATTATAGATTTGACACATGGGTTAAATTGCAATATACTTAAAATTGTCAAAATTGCAATTATATCCCTATACATTATCTAATTCTCAAAAAACATGCCCAACCTCACACAAATTTTCAGATTTCATTATGCCCTAAAATCACCTCTCCAAATTCATCTTCATCCTCCACCACCTCACCTGCCGCGTCCAACCCTATCCGGTCGCCGCCCAGCTCTCTCCAGTCGTTGCCCAGCTTCTCCCGCCGCGAGGTGAGCTTCGTCTGTAACTTCCAGCCGGGCCGGTGAAATCGACGGCGACATGTGCGAGCTTTGCGACCTCTGATGGTGGAATCCCGACGGCCGCGACCTATAACTGGAGTATGTCAGCAACGGTCGGAGCTCTTTCACGTCCAGTAGCGCGGCTGTGTATGGTGGAGTGGAGATGCGGCGGCCCTTCAGGTACGTTGGTGGCAGGAGGCGGTCGATGGTGGAGGATCTCTCATTCTGGTTGGCGGCTGCCGGCGTTAGACGTGGAGGTGTTCTTTGACTGTCGCCGGCGTGGATGCCGGCCGGCGGCAGCGGCGGAGATCGGTCGGTGGCGGCAGAAACACATCATGTGTGTGTATGTATATCTGTATGTGTGTGTTTATGTTTTCTATGGTGTGTGTGTGTGTGCAGCGTGAGTTAATGTGTGTGCAGAGTGTGTGTACGTGTGTTAGGTGTGTGTGGGCGTGTGTTTTGTATGTGTTAGATGTGTGTGGGGGAGTGATGTGACATGGTGATGTGTTGTGATGTGTAATAAAATGACTAAAATACCCTTAATGAAGATATAATGTTGACTTTTTTTTAGCCACTAGATCTTCTAATCTAATGGTCACGATTTATTCTTATTTCTTTCATTGAAACCATTCTCACTGGAACCCAACCCTACATATATATATATATATATATATATATATATATATATCTTATATCTTATATGGAAGAGTTAGAGTGCTTCTTACGCCGACACGTGTCCATTTTCATGCTATTGAAAGATTGACACGTGTCCCTTTTATTTATGTTTTTTGCTATTTTTTTTCCTTCGTTGGGCGTAGACGGTACCGTTTTGGTGCCTTGGATGCATTTTAAATCAAAGTTTCTTTTGCTGGTGTGTGATTTTACTGGAAAGCCCTGCTGCATTCACCTTTTAGAGGGGTGGAGGCGTAATTTGTCTTTGTTGTCTACCTCAGCGGGATTTGCTCGCACAAAATCTGGCCAGACGTGCGTATGTGTGCTGTGACAAGAGCAGGTTGAGTTGAATTTCCTTTCTTTCCTCTTCATTGCCAAACTCGCCAAACCACGATACATGAGGAGCGATTAATAGAAAAATAGATCGACCATTTTTATGTCGGTTCGAAAGTTGGGAGTCCTCATCGTCGTCGAGAACTTCAGGTTTGTGCTTGCATCTGTGGCCTTTTTTCGTGCGTTTGATTGGTGAAAAAGCTCAGTTGTTATGTGAGCTCGGTTGGGCACTACTTTTATGCGCACTTCAATAATTTTCAGGTACCTTGCTTTCCAATTGTACCCTCCGTTTTCATCTTTGGAATTTGTTAAAGAGCTATCTGATGAACCTGAGCATTTGTTTGAACCGCCGACAGTCTCCATTTACCTCCAAAAAATAACAAATATACTTCATTTTAAAAAAATTAAAAAATATACAGAAATTTATTCGAAAAAAATATGAACAGTGGACAGAAATTGGTTGGCTGAAGAATGATGGTGTTGTGTGGGTCAGTTTTGTTTTGTGTCTGGGCTGTACATTTTGATTGACTTGTTTGTGTTCGGGTTGGTTGCAGCGAGGATGTCGTCGGGTGCGCCTGTGACGTTTCAGGCTGTTGCGGTGCGTGAAGGGGCTAGGCTGGCTGCTTTGCAGAGGTGGAGGGGGAGAAAAAAAGCACAGTCATGTCCAGGTGCATTTTCTTTTATGTTGTTTTTTTATTTTATTTTAGGTCTGTGTTAAGTTTTCTTCAGGGGTGAAATTTTGTATCCGTATGTGTAAACTATGTTTGGCTTTCCTCGCCGGTTTCTTAAGGTGCGGTTGCCGGTACAAGTCAGCCGGTTTCTCGGTTGTCGCCTATTGTGGGCTCGCATAAGCGTGCCAGGGAAGTTGCTTTGCGAAGGTTGGGTAATAAGAGAGCAAGGTCGTCGTGTTCGGGTCATAATTCCGCTTGCGCGTCCAGTGGTGTCCGCGTGTCTCAGAATCGCGCTTCAAATGCAGATGATCGGACTGTGCCAGGGTCGCAGGCGATGCGCAGAGAGGCTGGTGCTGTTCAGCGTGGGGCGACGGTAAGAAGTGGCTCCGTTGTGAGGCCGCCCGCAGGTACCTTCTATATAAGGTTTCTGATTACTGTATGCATTTGTGTGGTAGAACTTCAAATTTGCTGTTGTATTTTAGGTGCGAACGATGGCCGTCATTTGTTGGATAATGTGCCCGCTGCTGCGTACACGTTGCGTGTTCAGCGCGATTGTCGGTATTGCGGTGCCAGGAAGATTGTGTACGAGACCATTAAATGTTGTTGTTCTGAAGGTGCGATCAGGTTGGCCTCTGCTCCACTGCGTGCTATTTTAAAGGACTTGTTGCTTTCGAACACTTCTGAGGCTAAATTTTTTAGGACTTGCATCAGGACAATAAATAATCAATTTGCATTCACATCTTTGGGGGTCATGTATGATAAGGAGTTGAGCCAACGAAATAATGGTGTGTATACTTTTAGAATACAAGGTCAGATGTACCACTTTCTAAACGATTTAGAGTCATCTAATAATTTACAACTCTATTTCCACGATACTGAGAATGAAGTATCTAATCGTATCATTGCCTGTCCACGACTTACTGAAAATATCACTGTTAAGGTTTTGAAAGTTCTTGAGGGAAATCCGTACGCTAGATTTTTTAGGGGGTTAAGTACGGTGCAGAATTTAAGTGATTGTCGTATAATTTTGCGCTCTGTCCCTGGTTTGGATCAAAGGACATATAATCAGCCCACTGAATCTGAGGTGGCTGCTTTGTGGGTGGATGGCAGTGGCAGTGAAGAGCCCTGTAAGCGCGATATTCGTGTTAGTTGTGCTGGTGGTGCCTCTCATAGGATACAATATTATTTTGGTTGCTATGACCCATTGCAGTATCCGTTGATGTTCCCTTTTGGTCAGGTTGGTTGGCATCAGGGAATAGAGAAGAAAAATTGGACTGGTGCTCAATCAAGTGGTGGACACTGCAGGGCGGTGAGTTTTGTTTCGCCGTGGGCGGCGGTGGATGCAGAAGACATAAAACATAGGGAGGAGGATGGTACGTGTGTGCATTTCACTATTTCTCTTAAATTAATGGTGCAGAAAAAACAAATAAAATAAATAAATTGTCTGTGTATTTTTACACTGAAAAACAGCCGTTGCCGTTGCGTCTGACAACCCTAATTATGTGTCTTTGCGGGAGTACTATGCGTACAAGTTACAGGTACGCACCAACGATGAATCTTTTTTTACTGCATTTTGGCAGGCTTTTCCAGCAATTTATTGTTGACATGTATGTTAAGATAGAGTCCCAGCGTTTAGACTTTTATAAAACACAACAAGTAGAGATAATGAGCGAAGTAATGGCTGGTGTCCAGGATTCCCTGGCCAATGGGGAAACAGAGGCATCTATGGTTGGCCACAGGATCTATCTGCCCTCAGGTTTTATTGGAGGTCCTCAAAACATGAAGCGGAGATATATGGATGCCATGACTTTGGTTCAGAGATTTGGTAGGCCAGACCTTTTTTTGACAATGACTTGCAATCCAAATTGGCCAGAGATAAAGTCTTTGTTGTTGCCTTCCGATGAGTCGCAAAATAGACCGGACATAATAGCTAGAATATTCAGGGCTAAACTAGAAGATCTAAAAAAGGATATTTTAAAAAAACACATTTTTGGTGAAGTTGTCGCTTATACTTATACGATTGAGTTTCAAAAGAGAGGACTGCCGCATGCACATTTTCTCTTCATTTTGAAGCATCAGTTCAAGTTGTATACGACCAGTGAATACGATAGGATTGTGTGCGCAGAAATACCAGATCGCGGCACATCGCCGCACTTGCATAATATGGTTGTCAAACACATGTTGCATGGCCCTTGTGGCAAAATGAATCTTTCAAACCCTTGCATGAAAAACACTGGCACCTGTAAAAAATTTTATCCAAAACCTTTTTGTCATGAAACAACTCATGTTAATGATGCTTACTCTAGGTATAGGCGCCGTGATAATAAGGTGCGTGTGAAAGTGAGGGGCCATGAACTGGATAATGGGTGGGTAATTCCATATAATCCATATCTACTTGCTAAATATAACTGTCACATCAATGTAGAACTGTGTTCCACTATAAAGGCTGTGAAATACATATACAAGTACGTTTGTAAAGGCCACGACCGAATTGCATTCCATGTGAATCCGAGTAAGCCTTTTGATGAGATAGACGAGATAGAGCAGTACCGCACCGCCCGTTGGGTATCGCCACCTGAAGCTGCTTGGAGGATCTTTAAGTTTTTTATGGGCGACATTATGCCTGCGGTGATTCATTTGCAGGTGCATCTGGAGAATTATCAGCGCTTATCCTTTAGGAAAAGAGATAGATTACATAGGATTGTAAATAATCCTCACAATAGGAAAACCATGCTCACTGAATTCTTCTACATGAATGCTAATGATCCTTATGCACAGTCAAAGAACTTGACATACCTGGAATTCCCTGAATATTTTGTGTGGATGTCGACTGAAAAGCGTTGGAAAAAACGGTCCCAGCGAGGCACAATTGGCCGATTGGTTTCTGTACGTGTGAACGAAGGGGAGTGTTTTTATTTGAGATTACTTTTGTCCAAAGTACGTTGTCCCAAATCGTTTGATGATCTTAAATGTTTTAATGGCAGGCATTGCGGTGGCTTTCGTGAGGCAGCATTGGAACGCGGACTGTTGGAAGAGGACAATAGTCAAAAGATGTGCTTGGAGGAGGCTTCGCGGTACCAAATGCCTTACGAGATGCGCAGGTTGTTTTGTAATTTGTTGGTTTATGCATGTCCCAATAGTCCTAAGCTTTTGTGGGAAAAATTTGAGGAGTATTTGTGTGCAGATTTTTTGAGGCACTCTGGTTGTACAATTCCTAGGGCATGACAGAAGGCACTTGTACAGCTTAGTGGTTTTCTAGAGTCAATGGGTAAAAATATTACGTCTTTTGACCTCTTGCCTATCAGTCTAGAATTCCAGAGTCAAAAAAATACGCGTGACGTAGATGCTGAGAGGAGTATAATTGTTTCTCACGAGGACCTAAATGCTGTGAGTTTGCTTAATAGAGAACAGAAAAGGGCGTTTGATGTAATAATGAATTGCATTGAAGAAAAGAAAAAAGGTGCTTTCTTTGTGGATGGACCGGGTGGCACCGGGAAATCTTTTCTTTATAGAGCTTTGCTTGCGACTGTGCAGTCTAGAGGTTGTATAGCGCTTGCCACTGCAACATCTGGAATTGTTGCATCCATGTTACCTAGATGTAGGACAGCACATTCTAGGTTTAAAATTCCAATAGATTTATCGGATATGAAATTTTGCACTATTAGCAAACAAAGTTGTTTGGGGTCGCTCATACGTGAGAGCAAGTTGATTGTGTGGGATGAGGCGCCAATGGCTAAAAAGGATGCCATTGAGGCGCTGAATCTTGCGCTGAAGGACCTCTGTGGTTGTGATGAACTCTTTGGTGGTAAGGTCGTAGTTTTTGGTGGTGATTTCAGACAGGTGCTGCCTGTGTTGCGTAGGGCCACTAGAGATGAAACAGTAGGTGCTTGTCTGAGTAGCTCATACATATGGCCGTTGCTTACCAAACTGCACCTTGTGGAAAACATGCGGGCGCGTTTAGATCCTTCATTCACGGAGATGCTTTTGAGAATAGGAAATGGACAGGAATGTACGTACGATGAGGACCTTGTTAAGATACCGCCTTCAATAGCTATTTCAGAACCTCTTGCTGACGACTCCTTGGATGAACTAATTAGAATAATTTATCCAGATCTGGCGCACCTAACAGAAACAGAACTTTCAGTGAATAGGGCAATTCTGACAACCAAAAATAGCTTTGTAGATGAGGTGAACGCAAAGCTCATAAATGAGTTCCCAGGTGATTTGGTGGAGTACTTGAGTTTTGAAAAGGTTGAGAATCCAGCCCATGAAGCAGAGTATGGAGACTTGATAAATTCGCTGACGCCGAGCGGCATCCCAAAACACCGGCTGATGCTGAAAAAAATGCACCGGTTATACTACTGCAGAATTTGGACCCTACGGAAGGCCTTTGCAATGGAACAAGACTGGTGTGCCAAAAACTGGATAAGAATGTCATCCACGCTGAGATTTCGGTTGGAGACTTTGCGGGCAAGAGTGTTTTCATCCACCGAATACCGTTTGAACCTTTACCAGAAGAACAATATCTCGTTCCCTACAAGCGCATCCAGTTTCCAATCCGCCTGTGTTTTGCAATGACGATAAATAAGGCTCAAGGCCAGACGCTCGACTCAGTTGGTGTTTATTTGAGAGAACCAGTTTTCTCGCATGGCCAACTTTATGTTGCTCTGTCGCGTGCAAAAACCTCGCATTCTGTAAAGATGCTGATTAAACCGCTGTTTGCCAACGACCAACGGTTAAACTACACTACGGTTAAACTACACTAAAAATATAGTCTACGCAGAAGTGCTGCAGGCTGCTGGAATTATCTAAATTTGTTGATCCGAGGTTTGTGTTTTAGACATACTGTTTGTTTCTATGTGCATGATTTATCTGGCGCGTGTTAATTTAGTTATTTTTCCTGTGCAGGACATATGCCTGGCTGTGGATCTTCGGAGGTCATGTGTGGCAAAGGATTTCTTCATGTGTCTCTACGGTAGCGCCTGCGTTGGGTGGAAAAGATTACAATATTGTGGAGTTTTTTTTTCCTCTTTGGTTTTCGTGTTGGCGCATTGGTGTGGCCCGCTTGTGCTGGTGAGAAGTGTCTATTTTTGGTGCGTTCGCCGCTCGGCGCGTGTGCACAATTCCCGCGCCTCTTATTTTATGTGCCGGCCATGGTGGTCGAGGCATACTAAGGCTGGCTTGTGCTTCCTTTTTTTAGCTGGCTGCCCTGAGGACAGAAATGTTTACATTTTATTGTAACTTGTGTCGTACTCTCTTTTGATCAGTTATGTGTTCTTTCTTTTCATTTAATGTCCTGTGCCTCGGGTTTCTTCTTCCTGCTCATTTAATGGTTTTTTCTTGTGTTTCGTTTTTTCACAACTTCTTTTATTTTCTTCTGGTCATTTATTATTCCATTCTATAGGTTGTGGGTGTTCATTTAATTTGCTGGTCACATTATTTAGTTTTCCTGTTCATTGAATGTTTTTTTTGTTCAAGCTCATTTACTTGTTCTGATGAACTCTATCAAGTGTATTGACAACCTTTTCTGTTGTACCTTGTTGTACCTTTATTCGTGCATGTTTAACTTTTATTTATTAGGTTTTTTTGTGGCTAATTAGCTTTCAAATACAGTAGTGTTCATTTTTCGTCTTGCTTATAATTAATTCTAGTGGTGTAATTTTGCGGTCGCACATTTTGGCTGCATTTAGGTTTTGTGTTTCTGTTCTCTTGCTGTAATTGAACTTGTGGCCGCCAACTTTTGGGTGCCCAATTAATGCAAGTTCCTACAAATGTTTTGTTGCGCCAATGTTCATCACGTGTGTTTAAAAAAATATTGTTGGGACCGTTGGTTTGGGGAGCAAAATTTGATGACAGGTGGAGTCTCTTTTGTTTTGCCCGTGCCTAAATTGGTTACATTTTGCGGTGTTAATCTGGGAGTGATGCAAAGAAATTAAAGAACGTCAAAGACGTTTGAACAAACAAGTGAGGAGAAAAACGATACCAGTTCTGTGTGCTTCATTAAACCACACATTTGAACTTCTAAAAAATTCTGTTCGGAGTGATTTACTAAATAGACGAAGGGAAAAATGTATTGGTTTTTATTTTGCTAATAAATTTTTTTTCTAAAGTCCCAAATATAAATTTTATATCTAGGTATGAAAGGCTGATATCAGTGTTCTGGGTTGTATATTGTTGTCGTCAGATTACAACGTTAGGCCACCTAACCATTTAATTGTTTCAACTGCTTAGAATGATAAGTGTAATTTGGGGTTTAAAATACTGTGCTTTTGGTGGGGGTCTATATTTTTTGGGGGTATACATTAGTTTGGGTATTTATTTGGGTACTTAGTAATTTTTTCCCCACGATTTTTTAAATGAACTTATAACCATGGTTTAATTGGATATTAATAAACCGGGTCTCGACACTATTTCCTTATACCAGTACCAGATAATTTATAGCTGCCCCAATCGCGTGCACTGCCTTGTGCAGGTCTCGTGGTCAACTGAAATCCGACGAAGGATTACAGTATGGGCTTATTGTACGACAGATCTTCTCTGCGCATGTACCTACCAACTCGCGTCGTGGGGCGAAAATCTCATCGGTCAATTCCCCTATTGCGCTCGTGCGCTTTGGGAATTAGGGTTGTACGGACGCCCCCGATTTTCTGCAACATAATAGCACTTTGAAGGCTACTGCACGCAAGAAGAAGTGAAACTGAAATGTTGAGGCGGTGGCACAGAGAACGTAATCTCTGCTGCCCTAGATCTGCGTGGGGTTATTTTTGGTGTGGTGTGCACGCCTCAGCTTTTCTGTTCTAACTGATTTTTCGCTCTCACTGGGGTCTCAGAGATTGGCAGAAAAGGTGATGTGACTGACTCAATCACTGGTACACTTTGGGGTTTCGACACGCGATTTCAGACTGGAAGTGGGGTCGGTGGAAAAAAGGCAGGTCTTTAGGGCGTGGATGTTGTGTACTTGCACAACAGTGGCACCTTTATTTGCTGTTGCCAACTATTGTTCTTCGATTGCGGGCTATAAATAGCAGGGCAATATGAACGAGCACTCACACAGACAAATCCATACAACAACAAGTTGGTAAGAAAATAGCATTCTACAGTTTTTTTTGCAGTGGACTCTGCTTACACATTAGTGGCAAAAAAAAAATATATCAAATCGGTTTAGGTCTCAGTAAACCTGGGTATTTCATTGGTCTTCCTTATTACTTCCACATTCTTGCTTTTTTAAAAAAGAATAAAGGGTGAGCTCATCCGTGTTTTTTGGTTGTTTGAAATTGTTAGGTAAGAATGAAGAACACCATGCAAATTGCGCAGGTTGACGAGAATGTGAAAGGCTGGACAGTTTTGATTCAAGTTGTTGAGCGCAGCAACATATTTGTTAGTCAAAAGGATCAATCCATTTCTTACCGTCGATTTAAGTTTGCGGACTCTGAGGTGATGTGCATGATACATGATTCAGCCCTCAATTTTGGCTATGAATCATTTTTCTCTAATGTATGATATTTGAGTTAACGTTGGCGGCTTATTTTTTCTTTAGGGCACGCAAGTTGGGGCAGTAGCGTATAACAGTAATATTAGGGAATCCTCGCCTATGCTGCAGCTCTATAAGAGGTACTATATTTCGGGGGCTGCATTAAAGAGGGCAGACCCGAAATACATGGTTGACTCTTATCCGTTCACATGGACAATCACCAACCGCACTTTGATTCAACCTTGTGAGGATAAGCTGCCTGAGAAACTAGACTGTCACATTGACTGTGAGAAGTTTGGTAATTTGCATAGATTTGTGGACACCGAAGATCTGCAGAGTATGTTGTATCTCATTTTATAGTTATACAAATGAAGTATAAAATACTGTTGTGTTCAAATGTTTTCTTCTCGTTCCTCTGCCGTATTTGTGCTGACTCGTGTGTGATGGTATGTTGTTGTGCAGATGTTCAGGGCGTCGTGGCACATGTTTTTCAGATGAAAGATGTTGGAGTGGACGCGGTGAACAGAGACATTGTGTTGATCAATGAAGAGTAAGCCTTATCCTAACTTAAATATGATGGATGCTTTCTTGTCGGCTATTGTGGTGTTGTTGACGACAGTGTTTATATTGTAGGCTGGTGCCAATGATACTTACTCTGTGGAATTCCTTTGGTGAGATCGAAGGGTCACAACTAGCTGAAACCATCAACGCTGGAAATGTAGTTGTGGCTATGCGAGTGAAAGTCACTACGTTCCATGGTCTTTCATTGTCTACTAGAACCGCAAGCTCTATTCTCATCAATCCACCAACGCTCGATGCCGCTGCTCTAAAATAATGGTGGGTCATTTCAAATTGTACCTGTGACATACGACCCGTTGTGCCGCTTTAA